GGATTTGGCTCATCTTTTTTTTTTCAACGCCCCTTCTCTGTAATAAATTGGAAGATAATTTCATGTTGGATTTGCATATAGAGATATCATTTGCCATGACTTGGTAAGATTGCTTGGTTTATTTCTCATGCAGATGGTAGAGCTATTACAAAGATCTTGTGTGCTGCCTTTGCTGCTGTTTTGTATCATATTTGGAGAGAACGAAATGCTAGGAGATTTCAGTCTTGTATTAACAGGGTTAATGTCATTGTGAAGAGGATTAACGTTGATGTTATAGCTAGAATGTTACATAGTAATCAGCCTTCATAGGTTCAGTTTTGGATGGTCAACTTGCAGCTGTTTCTTGGTTTTGTGAGTTGAGTGGCTTGCTTGATTCTTTCGTAGAGAATGTTGTATAGCTGGGCATGCCCATTTTTTGATTGTACATGAATGTTCACAGGTTAATGAAAGTTTCATTTACCTTTTAAAAAAATGAATCAATTCTTTACAAAAGTAAATACTCCCATAACTATTCTTCTATTATATTGTAGGTGGGTTAATAGCATTCTGAAGCTCAAATTCTTTTTGGTACAGGATTGGGGATGTCGTCTGGCTTGTTGGGTTCCTAAACTCGCACCTAAACCACAATTTCTATGTTGGAGCGCCTTATTCTTAGCATAACAAGTCAGCAGAGATTGAATCATGAATGGCGTCAGTCAATTAACTCTTTATCGTGCTTGCGTTTTGGGTATGAGCCAATTTTCAATATAACAATTTTCAAACAAATTAACATTACTATACATACATTTTGATGCTAAAGATGCGGTTTATTTTTTTGCCTGAGCCTCATCACAGCATCTGCTACTTGCTCAATCTGAATCAATCCGGCAAAATATATAGGATTCACATTGACTTGTATTTGGGGAATGATTGTTACTTGTTCATTATGCTTATCGACAGGGTCCTTGACAAAATTATGCAATCTCCTTCCAATGAGATATCAGTCGTCTCTAACAGAGTTGTGGAGATTAGTGAACCAAACAAAGAACCACTTGGCACAAAATAACACCAAGATGAAGAGAAGGCAACCAAGCCAAGCAAAACGATACACTGCACAGTTAATGATCAATGGATAGCAAAGCAAAGGGAAAAGAACTATGACAAATACATATGAAACACAAAGTGCAATCAGAAGCTTCGAGATGAAAGGAATTTCCAAGGCTTTTCAAAGAAATTAGTGCAAAGACTTAGAAATGCTATAACATCATAAGCTTGGACTTGCATACACATCATCAAATTTTACTTTTATGTATATTCTTGTTATAGTATTTGATTGATCAATCACCTTGTAGATACAACAACTCTAATATCGCATAATTGATCCCTACAAATAATTTTATTGTTCAAACATTTAGAATTACATTCAATAAATTTATACAAAAATCTATCATTATAATTTAAAATAATATTAAGAATTTTACCACATGCATTACACATGCAATCCAACTAGTGTTCATAAAAAAGACAGCTTAATTATATATATAAATATAAAAATAAATAAAAGAGGGATATAGTTGTCCTTATGTCAAAATAAAAAGAAATCTTATTAATGTCAAACTTTTTTATTGCACAACAATAATTACTCACAATTATTCATCGAACATCTTTACACGACCAAATATAAGTAAGAAACAGGTCCTGTATTCAAGCATTGGATGTGAAGTTGAAGTTGGCACAAGTAGTTTGTCGGAAAAGCAGAGAAGAGCTGAACCCGAGCCTGGATGCGGCCAGATCGAACTGCAGCAGATTATCCTCCATCTGATGCCCTCCGACCACAATCGAAGTCCTGGGATTGGCACCTCCGTCAACAAACGCCAGGCACAGCGCCTCATCGCTCACCTGCACCATCGAATTCGCTCCGAAGATCCTCCAGTAAACGCTCTCGCTCTGCATCACCAGATCAATCTGAGGCACCGCCGGCCCCACCCTCGTGCTCCCGATCTCACTCGCGTTAAAGCACACCTCGAACGGGGGCACAGCAGGGACCCTGGTAACCTCGGCCAGAGACGCAGCAAACGCAACGCTGACCGCCTTGTAGATCGAAGTCTCCATTGCAGTGTAGGGGATTACCGTACTGAGCTTTGTACCTCCCACTCCATTCGAATCGATTTCGAGCAGCGATGTGTTGATATTTGGCACGACCTTATCGTTGATCTTGATGGACCTGACGCCTACGAAGTACTCCGCTGACTTCTCCCCCGAAGTGCAAGTACCCGCAGTGCACACGGGGTTTACGAGCAGGGGAGTGTAGATCAGAGACTTAGACACATCAATACCAGGCAAGAGAGTGTAAGGTTCGTCTCCGAAGAATATAACGCCATCCGCCGAGGCTGAGCGAGAGAGAGGAATTTGTGATGGATCGTTGTAAGTCGCAGCGAGCTGCGGCGGGAGGGAGTTGTGGCCGGAACGCATGCGTGGTCAGGGTCTCAGAAGAAGGGGGCGAGGAGCAGATGAATGAGGGGGATGGGGGTTTTGGTCGTCGGTGACGAGAGTGGAGGAAAGTGAGCAGCTTGAGTCGGGTGGGTGATGTGTGGGGAGAGCGGGTGTTGTTGTGGAGCGGGGAGGTGGGGAAGAAGGCATGCGAGCGGTGCATTGGCAGGAGATGGGGGAGCGGCAGCGGATGGGCGGTAGTGGAACGTAGTCGGTGCGCAGTTGACCCAGAGGAAACGGCCGCCGAGGTCGACGACGAGGTCCAGGAGGACAGGAGGTGTGCGTTGGGAGATGCGGGTGATGTATTGGAGAGTAGGGCCGTGTTTTCGGACGGGGGCTACGAGGGCGTCGGGACGTTGGGAGGAGGAGAGGGAGATGAAGGAGGAGAGGAAGAAGAAGGAGAGGAGGAGACGAGGGAGGAGCTTGGAAGCCATGGGAGAGATCAGAATCAGATGGATGATATATATTGTTGCTGTCGAGTTTTGGCGGGTTTCATTTATACGAGGGGAACTGAAGGTGTGCGTACGTGCTCACAGAGTTTTGTTGTTGAACGGAGAAAAAAATAGTTTGGTCGCATTTGTCTGCATGCCAGAGTGCTAACAGCTGGATATTTTGACTATTGTGGATTGTGGATAATCCCTCTTCAGTGGCCGGACAAGGATGGTTACCCTCCGAATCAAGTTATAACATGCAAAATATTGATCATCTAACGAATTTAAACCTAGGAAAACGTATACTTAAAACATATTTAGAATTTATTAGGCTTTTCTGCTCAGCTTAACCTTGAAATGGACAATTGAAAAGTTTGCTTTAATAATGCTCCCTCACGAAACAAATGATGATGATACAAGGGGCGTGAAAGTTTGTTCTCCTACTTAGATGATAAATTTTATTTTGGACAAATATCAAACAGTAAAAATAAGCTTTACGACGGTTGGTAAGTCATATGACATGCTATATATAAAAAGGATTACAAGCTTGAGCCTCAATCCTTCAAGTGATTTTTATTTTTTTATATGTTATTTTTTCGTATGTATGTGTGGCTGTATCTTTCAAAAGAGAAATGGTTATCAATGGCACACGTTTTCTTTTACTTTTTTTTTTTAAAAATATATTTTTTAATAGAAGTATACTGTCGAATTTCTAGATTGAGCGCTTAATTACTTAGTTCATTTGCCGACTTTCCCGCAATGCCGTGGGCCGCATAAACTTTACCTAGTACGTAGTTAATTAAACCGTGAAGCTAATTGAAATCTTTGATAATTGCCTTGCGCAAAAAGGCTCATCTAAAAATGGTGTCACTCTCAGGTTAACTATTCAATTGTTTGGGAAAGAAAAATCAAATCTTAATGGAAGTGGACAGCATGATAAATTGATCATCATGATATAGACAAGATCGTTCTCAAAAAAATGATATAGACTAGTCAAAACCCAGAAGCACACGTAATAGATACAAACATACGAAAAAGTATTCTACTATTTAAACATTCTTCTAATTGATATTTTCTCCGATTTTGTGTGGAAAACAGAAATAGTTATAGGAGATTGTTGAACCGGGCAAATACAAAATGGATATAAGAAAATCAAAAAAAAAAAAGAATATATATTTTGATTTCCTCATATTCATTAATATAAGATTAATTAAAAACAATTTGCAATTGTAAAAGCAACATGTATTTGGATATTTCAAATGTAAATCTAAATATATTACTATATAATCATATTCGTAATCCAGATTTGCTACAGTGACCCAAAATATAGGACCAACAGGGGAACATGTGAGGTGTCCCCATCCTATTGCATAATAAGCTGGTCATCATTAATGATGACCAACTTATTACACAATAGGAGGGGGACACCTCACATGTCCCCACTATTGGTCTCATATTTTAGGCCATTTGGCCACGTTTGGCAAAGGGCTAAGGAAGAAGGGTTAAAGAGAATGATTAATGTACTTAGCCTATTCGATAATTTGAAGGACAAAATTATTAACCCGTTAAATAAGTTTTATTTTAGCCCTTGTGATCAGTTTTATGTTTGGGAATAACAACAATTTTAACTATGTTCTTTATAATTAGAAGGTTAATTCGTATTCCTTCTAAATAGGAGTATTAGCAAACCTCTCATTTTGAGGGGTTAACTCATTTTAATCCCTCTAGAGGGGTTAGCTTAACCATTCTATATTTTTTATGTTTGGTAAATTATGAAGGGTTAACTCACTTTAACCATTGTATAGACTTTTTGTATTTAACAGGTTGAAAATGGGTTAAGTCTTCATAACCCCTCACTTAACCATTTGCCAAATGGTACATTAGGGAAATTTTCTTCTTGGCTTCCCCCTACTCTGCAAAAAACCGAAATAGAAGGAGCATAAATTAGGGCCTGGTTTAGGCCCAGTTCCATCAGAGGCTTTTATGACTCCAGTGTATTAATTGCGTGTTTCTTCTATTAGTAGGGCGTGGGCTAAACCCAAGTTTAGCCCATCATAAGTTCAAAATCCATTATTCGCTTCCTCC